AATATAGAAGTTTGTATGGTCTGTTCATAAAAGTGCTATTTTCGTCATAAAAAGGATGTGGTCTTAATAATTTGACGCTGGTGCCCAAACCTTGCATTTGTATACCAGCCCTGTCAGATACTTTGAAATCTAAGTTGTTAACACAAGTGGCATCTCTGTAAGCCTAATAGAGAGAACATATCAAACTTGCAGTTCTCAACTCAGGCTAGAAGCCGAGATATTGTCAGAAGTGTCCCGCCAAACCGGGAGTCTTAATGATTTGGCGGGCACTGTACCTACTTCTCACTGACTAGTGATATTTGGACTGGTCGAGATGGGCGAAGTTTTATTTCACTTACCATTCATTACATCACGGATCGATTTGAATCAAGGAACTGGACGCTTGAGGTTCGTGAATTTTCTGGAATACACGATGGATCTTCCATCGCCTTAATCGTCGAATAAATGATGAAGGAGTGGTCGCTCTCAAAAGACTATTGTACTAGGTTCTTGCGCGACGGGGGCTCCAATATGTTAGTGCTGCAGAAAAACTAGCGGTCACCGATATGGCTTGTGTTGCCCATTCTCTCCACTTGGTCGTTGCAAGAGCGTTGATAAAGAAAAAAAAAGAAGAAACAGGGCCAGGTCGGGGAGGATATTCCGTCATGGTCGTCTGGCGTTGACAACGAAAGCACCGAGCCAATTGCAGAGCACCATGAAGACGAACATTTATCTGAAGAAGATCGAGCCAGTATGGATACCCTTCGTGATATAGCTATTGCTAACATGGACGCATATCTGAACACGACAAGTTTGAGTCTGGAGCGTGACGAACTCGATGCCGTCCGTAAAGTCGTTCAGCATTTCCGGACTTTGGCAATCTACTTTAGAAAATCACCTAAGGGCCAAAGCCGACTTGATCAGTGTCAACTTAGAGCACGAGGAATTAAACCACACGAAGTCCTGCATGCACAAGTTGACTGTCCAACAAGGTGAAACAGTTGTTGGGACATGCTGCAGCGCTTGATGGTCCTTGACCACAGCATCGTCAGATTCTTCGCGTACTTAAGAAACCCAGATGGTCGTATCGAGTTTGCTGGCATGGAGGCTAAGTTGCGGCGGCCAAAGGCGTCCGATTGGCTTACCATTCAGTGACTATCTACATTGTTGGCCCCGTTTGCGGAGGCAACTACCGCTTTAAGTGGACAGCGATACCCTACGATGCCTTTGGTGGTCCCTATTCTCTATGGCATTCGACGTCACTTGTCACGGAGCGATTTATTGCAGCACATGTGGCTATGGCAGGCGAGGAGCCCTATGTGGCGGAAACCGAAATAATGATGAACGAGTGCCGCAAGGAGGTCTTGAAGCTGTTCAATAGGCGCTTCTTGGAGCTGGAAACGAGTGAGCTCACGTGGGTAGCTTACCTTGATCCCCGCGTTGGAAAAAAGAATGCCACATTTAAGTGCTTCGGATAAACAGACAGCGGATACAGCACTCCTTGTAGCGGCGCGTAAATTGGCTGAAGACGATCGAGGAGAATCTGCTTATCTGACTCCAGTCCAGAATACAACTCTCGAACCATGTAGACCGTCACAAGGTCTCATGAGTTATCTCTTCGGGCCGGATGAGACTCCACGTCAGCAAACGAATTTGGGCAAGGAATGTGCGGACGAGTTTGAATCATACTTAAGTGTCATCAAGACCGTCAACAGTAAGGACGACCCCTTGTTATGGTGGCGCGTCAACCGTGCCAGTTATCCGAACTTAAGTCGGCTCGCCAGGAAGTGGCTAGGAGCTGTTGCTACGAGCGTTCCGTCAGAGAGAGCATTCTCGACGAGTGGGAACACTTTGACTGTTAAACAGAGCTCCCTTGCGCCATCACTAGTGAGGGATCTCGTGTTTATCGCGCAGAACTGGAGGATCGACTACGTGTAAAAGTGCTAGCAGCGTAGTGTCAATCTGCTCGTTCATCGTCTACAAATAACACAGTGTTGAAGCATCTTGAAAGTGAATTAGCTTAGTTTATCATCACCATCGTGCAGGTGCTACCGAACAGCGCTATTGACAAAAATTACACCACGTATCCGTGAAAAACCATAACAGCAACAGAGACCACACTCTACCGTAGTGCAGAAAGCTCCACTCCACCAGAAAAAGACACCACTGCAACACCCAGAGAAGGCAAGGCGCAACCGTTCGATAATAGAGAGTAGACACCGTGAAGACGCCCAATATAGACGCCAGCTGAAGTCCTTGCTGGTTGTGTTGATATGGTAGTCCTTGGTGCGGCTCTAGCGCTCTATGTGGGCGATCACGCTAAATGTGACCTTTGTGGGTAAACCATCGCTCACAACAAACAACGCCAGACTGGTCCAGGACGCATCGCCGGCGGCGATTCACCTCACCATTCACCACCTTAGTGATTTCAAGTCTAAATTTGTGGGGTGTTTGTCGGGTATAAGCGGGACGTTCTGTTGTGTAAACACCTTTTGGAACGTCTGGGATGTTCAGATGGGGGGTAGTGAACGTTCACAGCACTACGCAGTATCAGCACCAACTGGAGGGATTAGAAGTGTACAGTGCACATAGAACCTGTCTTTCACTGAAATTTACAAAACGTGAACCCAGCGGCGAGACATCGATGACGGAGAGCCCAAATCACGGGCCCGCGAGGGACCCAGGGCGAGAACCCCCACCGGAGCCCGGCATACCTGACATGGGCAACCGCATGAACTATTCGGAGAAGGCAGGGGTGCCCAAAACCAGCCCATACCACCTGCAGAGAAGGGTTGGCGATTCTTTTGCTAATGAAACACCCCCTCTCTACCAACAGCCGGCACACACCATGTGTGCATCCAGTAGGAAGGCCACATGGTCAACAAGAAACATCAGACACGACGACAGCTATTGTAAGCGACATTGAACAATGGGCCAGGAATTATAACCTGTACAGAACAGGCTGTAACGAGGCTAATACTTGTCCGTTTCATTTAAATGAAATTGCTATATAAATCTTAGTGGTTTGCGAAGGCAGTGGCACTCTTCAATTAGCCACAAGCCTCCTTTTGAAACTGCACGATGTCGGACAAGCACGAGTATTCCCCAGGAGAGAAGCAGATGATAGTGAACAGCTATGAATTCTTCAAAAACCAGAAAGAACATGGCATGTTCAAGGGCATCAGGACACGTCAATTGGTATCCGATTGCCTACGCTGTGCTCCCAACACAGTTGATTCCGTGGTTAACGAGAAAAATAAAAATCCAACGACAGATTTTGAGGTAATACATCTTAACTGATATTGTAACAACTACCTTTAACAATTAATATTTGTACAAAGGCTGGCGAAAATGACAGAGGCCGAAAACGAGATTATGAGCTGACAGATATCGAGCCAACAATCCGTCAATTTATTGAAAGAGAAAATAAAGCTGTACGCCCAACTACTGCAACCCGTATCAGCCTGCATCTGCACGAAGTGACGGGGATTCTACTTGCTGAGCGTACAATGCAGCGAGTTTTAGGCGAGCTGGATTTTCGATACGTGAAAGGCGAAAAAAGGCACATGTACGATAGAGCTTATTTGGGGCCTTTTGAAAAATAGAATTGCTGGAGACCCACCGAAAAGCGGAGCTGATGCAGTGGAGAAGGTATTGGATGGCCTAGCTAGAATTACTCCAGCTGAGTGGCTCGATCGGTTTCGTCACGTACAGAAGATTGAGGACGAATATGTTGCTCTGCAGAAATCACTAGAAAATTAACTGAAAACAACCGAACACCTTTATACTTTTTTTCACCATCCTGACGGAAGGATTGCATGTTAAATCTCCAGAATCAATCTGCGACCTGGTGAAATCTCTCTTTCCTTTTGTACATATGTTTTCAAATCTAGACCAATCATAGATCTTAATTTGGTGCGCCTTTCCCCCGAATATTGCACCTCTTGGAGTGGCCATTTTAAAATTGATGTAGCTCGAAAACGGCTGGAAATTGATTAAAACTGATTGCAAAATCAAAATGAAAACGCGTGATTTGACCCTATATCTAAATGTCGATATAGGTTTTTCCAAATCTTGTACCAATTATACCCCTGTAGATTCTGGCCCATTGTTCAATGTCGCGTACAATATTGATATCGAACTCTTGACTTTATTTGAGGGTCGAAACTTACACTTTTTTTAAATGGATTTATTGTGTTATTATAATAAATCAATGGATATTAAATATCTTTTTAGCTTATCTTAATTATTTGTATTTAATGATCAGGGTGCTAAAATCAAAAGTTTACTTATGTTGGTTAAAAGAAAATATTGTACTAATTTAGGTTATATTTTTTCGAGTGAGAAATCAATATTGCAGTAAACATTGCAATAGAGCTGTCAACATGCCTCGCCGCGTGTCGAAGTCCGAGCTCCCGAATGGCAAGCCGGCTGCGGATGAGTCTGAGGATGGCGATGTAGCCGAGTTCATGCGCCAGGAAGCCGCGTACCGTAAGGAGTTCGAACCCGTGGCGCCGTGGAAGCGCGACGACATCCCGGACTACGGACCGCTGCAAGACCGTCAGCACGTGCTCATCTTCGGTGCCGTGGGCGTGGTCTGCACCGTTCTATACGAAGCCACCGACTATTTCGACCAGATCCACCGGTGGCTGGCCTACATGGCTATCTGGTTCCCGCTGTGGTTCCGTCTTCTCAGCCGTGTATCACCCGCGCCGACCGACGACGAGCTGGACGCTCGGGAACGTCGTGAGTTCGAGCAGGAATTGCAACGAATTATCGACGAGAAGGACGAGGTCGATGACTGAATGCGTCGAATTAAATGGGAAGATAAAACTGCAACGAAAAATGCGTATAAAACACCTCATTCGATGTTCGTAGCTCTCAGGTCTCTACAAAGTCCACGGGTTTGGCTTGCTCTACTTGCGGAACCAGCCGAAGAAGCCGCCGCCACTCTCGTTGCCTGTAGTTGCGGCCTCGGCAGCCTTCTCCGCGTCTGTCTTGGTGCGCTCCGTCAGGTCCGGGAACTCCAGCTCGTTGAACGCCATGTCGAACAGCAGCGGCTTGCAGGGCACAGCACGGAACTCCGGTGGGAGCTTGACCAACTCGCGATGGCCCTCGATCGAGCCGGCCTCGAACTTGTCTTGACGGTCCACCAGAGCACCAACCTGACGTTTCTTACGCTTCTTGTCCTTCTTCTTGCCATCCTCTCCAGTAGTCAACGTAAGCTGCTCCAGCTCCAGACGCACGGCGTCGGCACGGGTCGAAGACTCCAGGAAACTCTGCGCCGTCGTGCGGCTTGCAGCGCCGGCCAGTTCCTCATGTAGCTCACGGGTGAATTCCTGCAGTACGTCGTCCTTGGCTGCAGGTTGTACAGCCAAAATCTCATCAGCTTCCGTCAAGAAACCGGACGCGTACTGGTACAACGCCATGGCCTCTGCGAACTTCTTCTGAAGTAGGTACGTTTGAGCGACAGTAGACGCACGACACGCACGGAAGACGGCGTGGTAGGCGCTGTACTGTGCAGCACGACGCTGCTCCAGTTCACGGATGCCAGGGATCGACAGGATATCGCCCACCGTCTGCACTAGCATGTCTAGAATATGCGTCAGCTCGCCTGCCTGCTGCGCCGAGAAGCGTTTCTTTAGAGTTCGGTACACCGTGGCCTGACGTTCCACTTGCTTGGTGAGCTTCTTGAAGCGTGCGTACTCTTCCAGCGCAGCCAGTAGCTCCAGATCCGAGTGCACAAGGGCACTGCCGCTCTTCGCCTGCTGCTCCAGCTTGATCGTAGCGTTCTTCAGCGCTTGTAGCAATGCATCGTATGCACTCAATAGCTCTAGGAACCGCGCTTCACGCGCCTTGTCATCTTGTGCAGCGTCCAGCTTGGCAGCGAGCTCCGTCGTGCGTACCAGGGCCATTCCTAGCTCCTGAGTCGGTACTGTGAGCTGCTGCTGCTTCCATTCCACCGATCCGAGGTTAGCCACTTTCTGCTTACGCGCCTCTAGCAACACCAAGTCGATCTTGGACTGCAAGAGCGAGTTGTTCGCGCCATCGCCTAGCTCCAGCGACGACGTCTCAGCCGAGCTGGCTGTACGTCCCTGGAGAGCCAAGCGGTGCTCGCAGAAGCGGATAAAGGGCTGCAGCTCGTCCGCTGAGCGAGAGAATAGCTCCTTCTGCGAGGACGTGCCGACCTGCGATAGGTCCGCGTAGATGCGGCGCGCAGTGCCAAACTTCTCGAGCGCCGCTACGTGCTCCTCGCGGTGGAAAGCCAAGTTACCGGCCATGTAGGCGGCGTAGGCCTCGGCCTCGAGACTCGTACGGGCATCAGCGCGAGCCGCGCAGACCTCAGCAAGTCGCTGACTCCACTCTGCTGCCTTGCGGAGGCGTCCGTTCAAGTGGAACTTGATGCGCGAGTTGGCGTCCTCACCGTTCTCAGACTTGTCCAGATTATCGTCCTCCTTAAGCTGCATGGCGTAGCCCCACGCACGCTCTGCATTGTACAGTGGAATGTACAGCAAACGGTTCTCAGTGGCCGTCTCGACGTCTACCTTCTTGTTGATAAACTGTTTGCCCTTGCCGTGCGTGAATTTGACGGACTTGCGGATGCGACGCAGACGACGCGTGCAGTACTGACGGTAGCGCTGGAAGTCGCGATGACGCAATCCGTTCTGCAACTGCGCGGCCTTGACGGTCTCCAAAATGGGCACACTCAGCACCTCGGCGTTCGGCGCGGGCGCTTCCTCCGCCTTGGCTCCCTTGGCCATCGTCACGTGTTGGTATCAAGTCTCCCCTTACTGTGTCAAGGACAACACATAAAATGATGTGAAATGATTGATTCTAATTGGTGTATACTATGTGTAGAGTAGCTGCTGGTCGACACTCCATTACAAGAGCTGAAGAGATGCAGAACTGCTACTACCCGCTGCCGGTGCAGCCTCAGCTGCCTGTCCCGAAGGATGAAGATGCACCGATGGAGCGGCTAGATAAGTCCCGTGCCAGCTCCGACGAGATGCGTCGACCTTTTATGCAGCTGGGCGCTGTGAGCGGCGCTGCCGGATCGGCGTACGTCGAGCTTGGCCGTACCCGTGTGGTTTGCGCTGTCTACGGCCCGCGGACAGACACGCGTGCGCGCCGCGAATTCAGCAAGGACGGTCAACTAGTGTGCGACGTCAAATACGCGCCGTTTGCTGATAAGTTGACGCGGCGTGAGCGCGGCCAGGACCCGGACGAGCTGGAGCTGTCTGCCATTGTGGAAGAGGCATTGGCCCCCGCTGTGATGCTGCACAAGCTGCCCAAATGCATCATATCAGTGTTCGTGACGATTTTGGAGGACGATGGAGGAGTATTTGCTGCTGCTATTAACTGCGCATCCTTGGCGCTGGCTGATGCCGCCGTGGAGATGTACGACGTGGTCACGGCGTCCAGCGCGGTGAGTTGCACCATTACATGCTTGAATTGTTTCCAACTATTGATTTTTATGGTCGGTGATATTTGCAGGGTATTGTGAACGGTTCGGTGGTGTTGGACCCGAGCAGAGAGGAGGAACAACGTGGAGACGGCAAACTGGCACTGGCCTACATGCCGTCGATGGGACGAGTCACGTACATGCTCCAGGCCGGCAAGATCCACCACACGCAGCTACAAGAGGCAGTGGATCTCTGCACAGACGCATGTACGGGTGTCACGCGGTCACTCCTTACAGCGTCGCTCGTGCAGGCTCTGTCCTGAACTGCTAGATAGGAATACAATCAACATCCAAGTGAGAAGTAATGTCTGTTTAGGTGGCTTCGTCGCTCTACTATCCCGCCTTCCAATTGGCATAAATCTACGCGACAACCTCCGCCTTGCGGTTCTTGAGTAGATTCTTCATGAAGAACTCGCCAGCCTTGTAACTGGAGCGCACCATGGGGCCACTAGCAACGTACAAGAAGCCCATCTGCTCAGCCACCTTCTGCCATTCGGCGAAGGCCTCGGGAGTCACGTACGACTTGACCGGCATGTGCTTGGTGCTGGGACGCAGGTATTGGCCGAAAGTCACGACGTCCACGCCACTGTTACGCAGATCACGCAGCGTCTGGAACACGTCCTCGTTGCGCTCGCCCACTCCAAGCATCAGTGACGTCTTGGTCACGAGATGAGGAGCAGCCACCTTCGCTCGCTCCAGCACGTGCAGCGACTGCTTGTAGTTGGCACGGTAGTCACGCACACGACGCTGCAATCGCTCGACCGTCTCCATGTTGTGTGCGAAGACATCAAGACCCGATGTCGCCACCTGATCGATCAGGTTGTCGTGGCCCTGGAAGTCGGGGGTTAGACACTCGATCAGGATCTCCGGGAGCTTGGCACGCAGCGTGCTCACGGTCTTAGCGAAGTGTCCAGCGCCCAGATCTTCGTAATCGTCACGGTCGACACTGGTGAACACGATGTAGTCGAGTCCCCACGCAGCGATCGCTTCTGCCACCTTGTTGGGCTCTTCAGGGTCCAGCGGCTTGGGTTTCTTGCTGGTCTTGACGGCGCAGAAGCTGCAGCCACGCGTGCACGTGTCTCCCATGAGCATGATCGTGGCTGTGGCGATGCCGTCCTTACCGCCGCCCCAGCATTCGCCGATGTTAGGACACTTGGCCTCCTCGCACACTGTGCTAAGACCCAGACTCTTAACTGTCTTGCGTAGTCGCTCGTAGTTGGCGCCCTGTGTGGGCTGCGCCTTCAGCCATTTGGGCTTGCGGTTGGATGCGTTTGGCTTACGCGAAGGTTTGGTACCAGGAGCAGCGTCCGCTTCAAACGCAAAGTCCTCAAGTGACAACGCCTGCTCCTCGAACGTCGGACCCTGACGCGACTCCTCCGCGAGACGCTCACGCAGCGCCGCAAGACGCGATCCGCGCTCCGAGTGCGTCACCTGCACAGAGGCGGCGGCAGTGCTCAGACAGCGGGTGTTCTGGGCCACACGCGAGCAGCGCGTCAGCGTCGTGGCGTGCATGCTTCCTTGTGCTTGTCTTCCAGAGTGGCGTTTTCAGGTGATGAGGCAAAATTGTACCAAGCAGACCCATACCCATCAAATGGAGATCTCGGATTGGTGTAAAAGCTGTGATTGTAATCATCTGATTGGATGAATCAGGAGGTCTCACCGTGTTTGATAGGATGCACTCTTTTGACTGGGCACCGCAGGTTTATCGACCATGATCCGAGGTGCTGCGCGCGGGCTGTTCCAGAGCGCTCGACAAGTGCGACGAGCGGCTGCAAAACAAAACCTGAAGCAGCGGAGAGTACAGGCGACAGGTGGGCGCCCCGGAGATACGAGGAGGACTGTGTGCGACTTGGCGCGGGAAGAGAGCATCATCACCAACCAACAGAAGCAGGCTTTCGGTCGGACACGATACGTGGAGGCGGTGAGGACTAGCAGAAGGCTGTTGCAGCTGCATGTGTAAAGGCTGACTGCTGTATTGTATTGTGTATCGGTTAGATGCCAAGAATATTGTCGGTGGGCGCTGTGGGAATGCTGGACGTCGGAGCGATTGACGCTCTCAATGTCTTGCTGCAAGACTTAGCAGAAGACGATGACGATGGGCGATAACAGCGCTTCGCAGCGCGTCCAAATAGCAGACTGCATGTACCGTAACACCAGCACAGTACAACAGTGTTGATTAAAGACGAGTATCCAAATTGTAGACGAACAACAACAAAAGTATCGCCAGAATTGAGTGGTATTCAACGAATTACTCGCCTATGGCATTGGAAGGCGTCTTGCTCATGAATAAACTACCTAGCGGGAGGTGGCTCTCTGCCCATCCAGCTCCTCCAAGAGAGAAGTAGACAAACGCAGAGAGCCCACACTCAACCACTAACTTACTCCAGCACCGGGAACTCGAACACAACGTCCTTGTTGGTCAGCTTCTTGTACACGGTGGCGAACGTGTCGAGCTTGGTCTCGACGTTGACCTGGTCCTTGGGGTCCAGCTGCACCTTCAGCAGCTTGGAGCCGTCAAGGCGGCAACGGGTGCGCTTGCCAACGATCTCCGTGGGGTACACAAGGTCCTGTAACAATCACAACACAAACAGTCGAAGTACATGAGCATACGGCATGGGGTGGCTAGAACCCAGAGGCCATCATCGAATTTCGACAAAATGGAAAGGAACATCAACAAAATGCTCGCAGGGGCAACGTACATCGAGGATCTGCTCCTGCACGTGAGTGAGCGTGCGCGAGCGAGGGCGGGGGCCGGCGCCGTGGTTGGCACGCGAGTAGCCCTTGCCCAGGATGGTGCGCTGAGCGATGATCACGACGTGACGGCCCGAGAACTTCTTCTCCAGCTCGCGCACGAGGCGGGTCTGGATCTTCTTGAACGAAGCGTGCAGGCGGAAGGGCACGAAGATGACGATCGCCTTGCGGCCGGACGAGATGTCCACCTGCTTGGCGGCGGTGATGTACAGGTCCTTGAGGTCGTTCTTGATCTCAGCAGTGGACTGCTCCAGGTTGGTAAGCTCCTGGGCAACCTGCAGCTCGAACTCGTCGGCGGTCTGGCCCTCCGGCTTGACAATCTTAGCGGACATGGTGGTAGAGTAGTCGGGGTCTTTGAGCAAAACGGCGAATACTATGGGGCAGTCAAAGCTGAGGAGCTCAAGAATTGCTGGCCAGTCGATTATAATAGGACTCAGATCTGAGAAGATGCGATTTTTGACCAATGGTAGTTTTGACCAATGAAAAATGCAGCTAAATGTAGTTCAAGATTTCCTGGCTAGGTACTCGAGTTTCGACACTTGACACCTGGATCCTGGAGAGTCGCTGCACCTGGAGTCTCAAAGCTACGTCGGACGTGGTGTTAAACATAAGTGCGGCGCCGCACCTCAGGAATTATCTTTTGGTTTCTAGCCTTTCCATGCGGTGTGTGAGCTGCCAACCTGGACGCGGCGGTGTCATCACGATGATCAAAAGTTAAACCAAGCACTTCCGTTGAGGATTTGGTTGCGTGTCCGAGTGACGCTCCTGACTGTCGCTTCAACACGAAATCTGACGAGGTGGCTGAGCGTTACGTCTTTGCTCCCGTCTGCTGTTGTCAAGAACAGCGGGTTCAACGTGAGGCAGTGCAGCTCCTGCCAACGCAATGATGCCGCGACTCAGCAGGCAGCTCATAACTGCTTTTGCTTTCTCGGTCGCAACCGCATCAACCAAGACCTCACTTCAAACCATGGTTTTCCGCCACGCTCTACGAGTTGCAGTCGTCTCCGATAGCAAGATCGTGCAACGCACGCTACACACGAACGCAATGGACAAGCTTCGTCCACTTTGGCAAAAGCGGTGGCCAATGCTCTCTAAAGCTAACTACACGAATGAAGGAACGCAAGGAGACAGTGATACAATTGAAGTCGCCAAGAGGCAGCAAGCAGTGCAAAGCGACAACTACCAACTCGTGATCGTGGGCACTGGTTGGGCTGGTTACCAAATGTTCACCGAGTGCTCCAAGCATCTCGCCGATATCGAGAAGAACGTGGACGGCAGGAACGTGGACATCGTCGTGGTCTCCATGCGAAACGTACGTCTCTTAATGCCTAAAACCTCTCGACTTCTCTCACTTACGCTAATTCCTTTGTGTAGCATTTCCTGTACACGCCACTGCTAGCAAGTACAACTGTAGGAACACTCGAGTTCCAGTCCATTACGGAGCCAATCCGTGATGGAATGTTTCGCCACGAAGGTCATTTTCATCTTGCCAGTGTCAAGGAGATCGATCCAGAGAAGAAGGAGCTGTTCGTCAAGTCAGCTTTGGGCTCCCGTCGAGAGTATCCTATCAAGTACGACACATTGGTGCTGGCCTGTGGTTCTCGCCCACTCACCTTCGGTCTACCAGGTGTAGAGGAGCATGCCTTCTTCCTCAAAGAAATCCACCACGCTCAGAAAATCCGCAACCGGATTCTGGAAAACTTCGAGGTGGCTACACAACCTGGCGTCACACCCGAGGAGAAGGCACGACTGCTACATTTCGTTGTGGTGGGCGGTGGCCCTACCGGTATCGAGTTCTGCGCTGAGTTGTATGATCTGGTACTCCAAGATCTCCGACACATGTACCCTGATGTGTCCAAGTATCTCGGTGTAACGCTGTTAGACTCCGGTGAAATTCTGAGTGGTTTCGACAAACAACTACGCACTGTAGCGCTCAGTAAGATCGAGTCGAGAAGCAGTATGCGGATCATCAAGAAGAACTGCATTGAAGTCACTGCTGACGGTGTGACGCTTGAAGATGGCGAGAAACTACCCGCGGGTCTTGTAGTCTGGACGGCTGGGGTAGGACCCAACGCACTTACCAAGTCACTGACAGTGTTTGACAAGAGCAAACGCGGTAACATTCTGACCAACCAGTACTGTCAAGTACTAGGAGCAGCGGAGGTCGAGAAGGAAGCTCCATTTGGCATGCCTCGTCGCTCGAACGTGTTCTCTATTGGAGACTGTGCCGAAATCCTGGACTACTCGTTGCCAGCGACAGCGCAAAAGGCTCAAACTCAAGCTGACTACCTCACAGCATTGCTGCGTGGTAAGAACTCAACTCCTGCTAAGCCGTATATTTTCCGCAGTAAGGGAATGATGGCGTATCTGGGCTCGTACCAGGGTCTGTTTGAGGCACGACCTCGCGAAGATGGCAAGATCACGCTCACTGGGTGGCAGGCCTGGTTCCTATGGCGAAGTGCGTATCTGACCAAGCTCGGAAGTTGGAGACTTCGATTGCAAGTGCCGCTGGATTGGCTCAAGGCATTCGTTGTAGGTCGAGATGTATCCAGGTTTTAAGGGTATTGCCTGTCGATGATACAATTGCATCGCCCAGATACAGAAATTTGCCTCTAGTAGTAAAAATGATTCATCTACTTCATCTTGCAACCTACTGGATGCTGGCTCGGGTCTTAGTAGGCGCTCAGTGTGTTCATCCATGAGCAAGACAAGATGGTTAAGGTGGTTGACGAATTCCGAGAGATATTGCCGAAAAAGTACGCAAAAGAGATCTCCGAAAAACCTGGCTTCGTTCAACTAGTGTTGAGTGCAAATTTCCGAGCTGCAGACCGATTCACCCGAGTGTTCAAGGAATAAGGAACGAAGACAACAAGATTGATCAAAATCAACATGTTTTCAACCGCTCGGCGTACATTGCAACCCGTAGAATAGCCCAGTAGCACGTTTGTAGACATGATACAACATCTCGGATTAGAAAGAGTGTAGGGTCAGATAACCCACCTTCGACAAGAGCGATGAGAACTTGGGTCAAGGCATTCAGCTTGATATCTTTCGCTATTCGTTCCGATCATTATAGCTTGTGGCTGCTGATTTTGGTACCGTCGAGGAAGGCGGTGTAAGCAAGTGCGTCTTTTTGGTGGTTAATAAATATTTCTTATTTGAGATTTATTTTTTTTTCTTATTGAAGTTGATTGCATCTTTCCCAGATAAAAATGGCTCCTTACGTTCGTTTGAAAATAGCAAAATGGTTGTCTGCTTAGCTTCTCATAGACATCAAGTCGGCAAATGAATCGGGATCAATGGCACTCAAGTTACTGGTTAGTGTCGTGGCTCTTCCTATTACCCTTGCGCTATTCAGATGCAGCGAATTGGGCCCAAGTCAGTGGTACAAAGCACACAAATGCAGCAGTGAGAGAGATCACACCGTGGACAAGTCGACATGGTCATGCAGTGACAGCGTTGGACTTCAGTGACGACTACGAGCGCAGTACTGGACAAAAGGCGAGGCTTTTTGTGCTGGGTGGAGACTCGAACGTTCAGGGATCACAAGACCTAAGAGCGTATCCTGGCGGTGGTGCAATGCGTAACGACGTGTGGAGTACAACCGGACCGACTTGGAACGTGCAAACCAATATCCTTAAAACTACCAAATGGGGAGACCCACTACCTCAAATTGTATCAAATGTAACGTGGTTACAGACGAATAACGGCAAGCGTCCACCTCGAGGTATCACTTACACCGAGTGGATCTCTTGTGCTGCCGCTGCCTGGGCTGTCAATCCTCCTTCAGGATGTGATGACCCCACTAAACCTCCTGGCGCGTACTTAGCCGATAACATGTTCTCTCCTCGTCGAAACTTCGTCGCTCTGGCCTTCCAGAACGAGCTCTTTGTCTTCGGTGGTCGTGCTCGTGAACATTTTCCAGTACCTCAGTCGCAACAACGTGGGGGTACGGGACCTGGAACCATGGCTCCACACAACGTCCGATGGCTGGAGTTTGCTGTATTGAAAAACGATGTGTGGCGTAGCAGCGACGCAGGTGCATCGTGGAAACTCGTGACTCCAGGTTGCACTTATCCACAGAGCGCTTTAGTTCACAAAGCTTCACGTCCAGAGCTCCAATGTGAGGATGACGACCAGTGTGAAGGTGACGCATCATGCCAAGTAGATGAAGCCACAGCAACAGGTTTCTGCGTCTGCAACATGTGGTCGCCTCGCGAATTCCACGCTGTCGTAGTGTTCAACAACGCCCTATATTTATCCGGTGGATACGCTCTCGTTGAGTTAGGCAACTGCGGTGTCGAGGAGAATGCTCGCAAACGGCCATCAGGCGAAGAATTTGCGTGTAGTGGTGGATATCGGGCTTACTTGAACGATATTTGGACATCTACAGATGGTCAGCACTGGAAAATGCTCAAGCTTCACGCAGAGTTCTCTCCTCGAGGTGAGCACTCGATGGTATTATTCAACTCAATGCTGTATATACTCGGTGGACGCACTGGAGCTTCAAAGACAGAGGAAGGGACTGGTCAAGCGCAGACTAAGCTATTGAATGATATATGGGTCAGTACTACTGGTTCTACCTGGACTCAAGTAACAGAGGCAGCGCCATGGACACCAAGAGCGAAGCATGAGACTCTTATGTTGCCTGGCGCCACCGATCAAACCTCAGGAGATGATCCAGAAGACCAACTGATCTTGATTTTTGGTGAAGACGCAGAGCGAACACTGGAAGATGTTTGGGTCTGGAAAGGAGGAGACTCGAACTGGATCAAAGATTACTCGTCTGACACAGCTTTTGTTGAGTATGTACGACCGGCAAGTGACGTGTCGTATCTACGGACGATGGTGGATACCCATGTACTGGCGCTGGGTGTTGCCGGAGTGAAGATGATTCAAGATCTTACGAGTCTTTCATTCGACCAAACGATAGCTCTACGAGAACTTATGCCTATTTGCGACTACATTGCATTGGCCAAACTTGTGGTAGAACAGTGCACCATACAACCATCAGAGTACGAAGGTCAAGAGTTCGCCAATGTCAAGGTGATTCAAGGAGCCAATGGTGACGAGGAAGCAGCTGAAACAACGACTACTACTCAAGATGAGACCAACTGGGATGGCTGCACACACATTGGTAGTAAGGTGGTAGATGCCAGAACTGGTCGTCTTCGTTGGGGTGACGTACTGGGAGTCGATCAAGTTCAGGTACTTCGAGACGTGTTCGTCGATGCTCAAGAGAGTATTTGCCAGTGGAGACCTAAGCCTCGATCGGGTCACGCCGGTGTAGTTTTCAAGCGTAAGGTGCTGGTTCTAGGTGGTCTAACAGCGCCTGATTACTATGATAACGACGTCTGGTATCGCGACGCTCGTCGACCACGAGCACAATTCACGTTGGTACCTACGAGTGGGAGTTCGGACACTGTGTTTAAGTTTGAAAGCGACAAACCTTACTGCGTCTTCGAGTATTATTTGCTCGATACAGTGGAGCAGCTCGTCGTGTGTAACTGGACGGTAACTCTAGGCGAAGTGGACTTTGAGAACTGGTTAGACTCGGGCACATTCCGCATGCGAGTTCGAGCTCGAGACCCTGCTGGTAATGTGGACGAGACGTTCGAGGACGGTCGGAATGAACACACGTGGGTGTATGAGCGTCCGCTGCCCTGGGGTCTGATCATCGGTCTATCCAGTGTCGGGTTGGTGCTGTTGATTGGATTCTTGATGGAGTGGCGGAAGCGCCGCAAACGTGCAGCTATGGAGCGCTACGCCATGAAGCGTATGCGTCGCAAACTTAAGAAGAAGAACGCTGCTGTTACCATTGCAAAGGAAGGAGATCCGAATTGGCGCGAGACGTATGACGACGCTAAGGACGGGAAGAAGGGCAAAAAAGGTAAGAAAGCGACTACCAAGAGGAAACCCACGACAGCTAAAGACAAGAAAGACAAAACGAAGACAAAATCTAAGGATAAAAGCAAGAGTAAGGACAAAACGAAGGACAAGAAGGTCAAATCCAAGACAAAAAGCGGGAAAAGTGACAAGAAGAAAAAGACAACGAAGACGAAAGACGATGCGAAAAAAACCAAGACAGCAGAAGCCAAAGCCAAAACAAAGTCCAAGGACGCAACAGTCAAGAAGAAGTCGAAAGACAGCGCCAAGACAGTCGAGAAGCGACCCAGCAAAGCAGCCAAGAAAGAGAAATCTGATAAGAAGAAACCCGACAAGACCAAAAGCTCTGATAAGAAGAAATCGAAATAAAGGTTGAAATGTCTAAATATTCTGTCTGGGCCATTTCTATTCATTTAAGTACGAATGCGAACTTAACACCATCTTGTGTCAATGTTGCTTTTTCGCCATACAAACCCGAAGTTAAGCACCATGGGCACCTACGTCGAGGACTACCTGGAGAGCATGTACCTGCTGCCGTCGGAGATCAAGCGCAACTTCGACCTCATGCGGGAGCTGGACAAGGTGCGTGTGCGCCTCACATACCGCCTCTCCTTCTGCATCACTTTCTAATGCTCGCTGCGCAGACGTCCTACCCGCTCCTCGAGGAACTTAAGACGACACAGAAAACGTACTTAACGAGTGCGCGACAAAAAGTGCTCGCTAGGTGCGCAGATGCGACAAAAGGTGAAGCTACCGAGCAAGAGCTGCGCGAGCTCATTGAAGCCGACGATATGGTGCAGAAACTGCAGGAGAAACACGCTCTGGTCGTACAGAAGCTGGACGAGAAGATCGCCATTGCCGCTCAGAGCTACGACATCGTAGACCACCATATTCGCCGGTTGGATAGAGATCTGGAGAGCTACTCGGCTCTATTGAAGGCGAATGGAGAGTATCAAGAGGACAGCAGGCCTCAACGCAAGAAGCAGAAGGTGGCAGCAGCCAGCACAGTGCACCAAGTCAGTCATACAGTGCCCAATGTCAATGTCCGCAGTAAGAACAGCACAGGTGCTGGTAGTATGAAGGACAAGACAGTCATGTCGGTGGCTAAGGCTTCCAGTGGTGGCAGTTCGTCGAGAAAGAGATCCATCGCAGAGACTACAGTGGCTGTGCCCGCTGCAGCTGTTGAGCCGGTGATCTTGGCCTCGGAAGATCTTCCCATTGACCCGAACGAACCTATTTATTGCAGTTGTCGACGAGTGTCGTTCGGTCAGATGGTCGGCTGTGACAACGACGACTGCAAGTACGAGTGGTTCCACTTTGGCTGCGTGGGGCTCGCGGACCAACCTGCAGGCAAATGGTACTGCCAGGACTGCAAGGTACAGCTTGGTATCAAGTAAACTTTGCATGCTTCTGAACTGCAGGCTGCGTGCTGTACGAGTTAATGATAAGATTCGCAGAATGAAATCGATTTTTTTGCCTAGGAATTCACTGCGAGGTTTTGTTTCACGTCTACAAAATTGGTTTCCGCTACACTGATTACCATTGATGCTTCTGGAGCTATTCCTTTCCTATAATGTAAGCCGAGAGGACACGCGGGTGAAACATGCATTTTTTTTAGTTGCTGTGTTATATAAAACTCATACTTGTTTGGATTTGAAACATTTTCAAGTTGTCCCTGGCTTGAGAGATCAACGTATAGATAGATACACACTTCAAGTCGGCCCACATAATTACAATAGTTTCCAAATAGAATCTTCGAGGATAATTTTTTTTTCTTAAAGTAGGCCCGTAAATGATCTAAACTATAACCCCCTGTTTATTTCTAAATGCTTAGAATATGCCAGTAGTATATCATTTCGCATTACTTCACGACTAATATAGTTTTGAATAGCCGCTGATAAAAACATAGTGGTCAGAGCTATAGGTCATTAACACCCGACTTGCAAATGACAGTATATTTATTGCTGCAGCTTGCAATTTTATTTATTTATTTTAGTGATAAACGCAATGTTCAAACGATTTTTTTTACTGTACTTTCAATTGATACATATAATTCCTGTATCACATGAACCTAAAATACAAAAATGTTCATGCAAGAATTGTTACTGCTGCGCAAGAGCCGTGGTACCTGACCACGTTGCCAACCCTGAGGTATAGTATTGGTAAATAGTTTCGAGTGCCAAAGACAATGGACTCGCTCTAGAAGCCAAGCACGATGGAGCATCGAAACACTTTTAAGCTCAACAAGGTGGTTCCGTGGCCAAGATCTACCATGAGATCGTTCACGGCGGACAGCAACTCGTCCTGTGAGTAAAAATACTAATTTACAGCCAAGTTAAACCGATGACTAGCATAGCTGACTAGCTAGACATCAGTCTTGGTCGCAATGGACTAGTTGTTGCTGCAATTGTCTCCCACCATAAATCTCACTATTGGCTTGGTCGTTTTGTAGACGTCAAGGATATTCACGAGCAGATTGACGTACGCGCCGACTCTCTGTGTGCAATCGGAAAGACGAGTAGGTTAAACATTGACGTGTGTAACTTCAATGCGGTGGATATTGATGTAAGCGCCAGCCCTCCAAAAGGTGTCCAAAACCGATTCCCCCCGACTTTTACGGAAGTGACAAGTCGACAATGTTGAAGATACAAATTTGACTTGGCTTAACTATTGGGACCAATCAGATCTAGTGTGGGCGCGTGTCTTTTGCGGTGAATGTGTAATAAGCATGTAGAATCCAGCTAAGTACTTCTCGAATATTTTCCCTTCTACCTTCTTGCACACAAGTACCCCACCAACACAATGTGCCTCGTGAACAACGCAAAGCGCAACGTAATGCACACAACAATGAGTCAGCTGTCGAACAAAAGACCAAATACAGTGCAGGCAATAATTATAAGAATGGGTATCTTTTTTCGAGTTTTGACGAATGAGATGCTCGAAATGCGCTGAAACTCACCCAATCAACGCAATGCACAAAGGCAATTGAATGGGGGTCTCCATTCTGCATTTAAACCGAACTGACGGAGCTGTGAAAAATAATGCCTGCGAGGGGTGGCAAAAAGTATACGAACGAGGCGTGCATTAGCGTTTTTTTTTAGGTAGTTGGAGGCGTTGTTTAGCATTGGCTAGTGGTCGGTCTTCTTACCTAAATCCTTTAGAACGGTTGCACAGCAATCAGGCATCGAATCGCCAAGCGTGTTGAGGTATGGCAGATCGATTTTTATCTCAGCTCGTAAGTATCGCCTTCTCGATCTCCTCCTTCGACTAGTAATGGTTTCCGTTGGGATACACAAGTCATGCCAGCTTGCTCACACGTTCTAGATAGAGTTTAAGTCGGGGGACAGAGAGGGCCATGGTAAAACAGCGAAATTTTGGTCATTAAGCCATGCATTCGTGTACTCTGACGTATGGATAGAGCAATTGGCTTGCTGAAAAATGCACGCACGGGGGGATTCACTCTTGTGAACGGTTGGGGATACTTCTCCAACGTCTGCACATACTTTGTACTGTCCTGCGTACCAGAAAGGATGGCGAGATACAACTTGCCGCCCGATGAAAACGCGCCATATCATCACGAATCCGCCACCAGAGTGACGCTTCGACTACACCTGTTCCTCGGTTCGCAGGTCATGCCAGTATTATAGGAAGCCGTCTGGGCCGTCTAGATTAAATTTCTTCTCGCCGCTGAATACAACAGACTTCCACACGTCTGTCCAGCGAGCTACTCAAAGGCGACGACTTCTAGGTGAAACCTGTCAGTAGCAGCTCATCTTGCATCTTGTCGTTCAGTAATCGCGACATTTTCTGGTCTGATAATCTGATGCCAGTAGAGTTAACCGCTTGAACCCCACGACCTGGACTTTACACGATGCCAACTTTTCCTTAACTTGGAACATACAAGATATTAGAGGCTTTTAGCAAATCCGGAATTTGTGTTTTTCCGGTTTGATCATATGCATTTTTGCCCTAATCGCTGACCTCAACAGGGAAGTTAAATCGAAACAACTTGTCCAAACCGGACGAAACAACCTGTAGTTACTGTTCTATTGCTAATAATTACGGTTTATATCAAGGACCTAATCTGCGACCGTTCACAGCTAAATCGGCGACACCTGCCATGGATCCTAGGGAACATGCTGTTATAAGTGACGGTGAAGCTACGGTATACGCGCTCGACAGTGACATAGAGTGGTTTGCGAGGACTGTTGTGCGGGGGGTGCCTCGTCATCATCGCGCAGCGTACATGTATCAGCGCTTGCTTCAAGCCCTTGAGACTGGTAATGCTGTGGAAGCTGCCGTTTTCTTTTCAGAGTTGGCTACAATGGACAAACCGGTTCCTACCCCAAGTGTGCCATTCAATTTCAACAGTGTATCAGAGGATGAATCACTCATACGATTCAGGTTTTCTAAAGCAGAACTAGTCATGCTCATTGATTTAATGGGTTTGACTGAAACTACAACAAGAGAGAGAACGAAAGCACCTGCAAGCGAAGCTCTTTGCATTTTGCTGTATAGGCTGGCGGCTCCGTACATGGAACCGAGCCACAAGACTACTTTGGTCGCTCTGGGAGCGGGATATCAAACATTTTCTTGCACACGTTGAATTTTCTCGATGTCAAGTAAAAGAGGTTACTAGCATCTGGCGGTCTCATCGCAGCTACACGACTTTGTGTGTACGCAAATGCAATCTTTGAAGCAGGATCCCACTACACGAACATTTGGAGCTTTATTGTCGGCACGGTTCGAGGTATATGCCGTCCGCAGCCAAGGAAAAATGGCACTGGTAAGATGTTGATGCAGTAATCCGTTTACAATGGTCACAAGCACAAGCATTGTCTCAAATTTCAGACTCTAGTTACCCCGGATGGACTAATTATTCATCTGTTCGGACCATTCCCAGGCCGCAACCACGACATTAAGATGTTTGCCAAATCCGGCCTGGCTGACCAGGTTCGCAGCGATTCTCGTTTCGTTGACTACCGAATTTTTGGTGACTGTGCTTATGGCCGAGACGATGTGATGCTGAGCCCATTCGAAGGCGCAAAAGGATATTAACAGCAAGGTGAGCAAGGTCAGAGTGTCTGTTGAGTGGTCTTATGCTCAAGTGGTGAACTATTGGAAAACGCAGGACGTCAAGTCAAATCTTCGTGTCGGTACACAACCTGTTGGACAAATGTATCGGGTTGGTATCTTAATGACCAATTGCATCACATGCATTCGTGGATGAAATACTGCAAGCGACTACTTCAGTGTCGAACCACCAGATATTAGAGAATATTTGAGGACAAACAGCAATTAGGCAGATTATATTCATTTTAATTGTCTTTCTGAGCGATCGCTGCGCTAAAAAGCTTGGCACACTCAATGATGAGGTCTTTTCTGTAAACGTTCTTGGAAGCGAAGATGTTGATCCTCTCGTTCTTTTTCAAAAATGAGCCGTTGCTCAAATTTCTGCTGTGATTGACGGAGCTCCTGTTCTTGTAGCTCGAACTCTTGTCGCTGACGTTTTTCTTGCCGTTTTATCTCCTGTTGATATGCGTTCATCCGTTTTGGTGTCGACCGTGGCGTTCGTGATGAGGCACCTGATACTGTCGAACAACGAGAAACACTGCTGTTCGGCATCACTACAATCACTAACAGAGTCATCAGAGTAAGATTTTGCACGAAGTGCCCGGCGACGGTCGCTTTTGCGAACTATTTCTTCAGCACACATGGCTAATTGTTCATCCTTTTGCTGCTTTTTGGTCTTGACTGTTTTTTTTTCTCTGACTTGAAGTGGTCCTCTAGCGCCACAAACTCCCGTACAAGCCCTTCGCGCTCATCGTAATGGCTTTGGACGTTAACAGCATCAACTGACTCTTCGATCCCGCTGCCTAGAGCAGCAGCGGCTTCGGAATCCTTGAGCATTTGCTTCAGAAGCGTGAGCCGGTCGCAAACCTGCTTCACGTTGACCTCCACACCAAAGGCAGATGATAGGGAAGCTGCGATATCGCTCCATACGCGCAGTGTTGTACCACGGACCGCTGCGAAAGGCTTGAGGTGTATGAGCTCCCGCAGCAACTCTTTATCCCAATCATTCGTGAAGCGGAATACCATTAGATCAGGCTGCTGATTTCTTTCTGAGCTCGTACCTGCGAGTTTGTTTGTGCTATTCTTAAGTAGATTCGTCCTCAAAACTGACCTTGAATACCACGTGATGCTTTCCCCATTTCGGTTTAATGCTAAAGGCACATTTAACCCATTTTGAGCAATCCAACTTTCGGTCGAAAATTGGAAAACCGAACTAATCTGCTAAAAGCCTCTATTATTTTATACTTCATTTTTGTATGGGACCTTACAAATATTAAGTCGACGAGGGGTAGGTATTGAGCCCATGCCCTCCCACTCCTCGCATAGATGATACAATCCTTTGTGTAGTGAACGTCCAGTCCTCCGTATCTAATATCTGATTAGACAGGGCCGGAAGTGTCGCCACTCATTTCTCCTCACTTTCAGATTCTCTCGCTCGAGCACAGATCAGAAGCTGCTACCTCAATATGGCATTTCAAGCGCGGTGGCGCGAATTGAAGAAAGATGGATGGAGTTCCAAGCGACCAAGTGGATTATCGGTTGATTTTACGTATCTGAAGATAACTAGTATATACTACTCTGTCCGGAAAAAAATTGCACGGATCGGCTTTACACCACCAAATTTCTTGATTTCATTATACATTCAAATCCTTCAAATCCCTACGATAGAGACAGGACCTCAGCAGCCGTACTCGAGCATCGGATGCTGAGGGGAAGCCTTCCTTCCTTCGCCAGGTGAGCTTTCCCCATTCTTAAATATTTGAAATACCCAATCCGAAAAATATTTGAATAATTTTGATTGAGAAAAGTAACGTTAGTACTACCTCCGTTCGGAAAATATCGCACGATCGGGAATGTAGCCAATACTGCTAAAAAAAAAGAATACCCCTCCAATCTGATCAGGATTTGAAAATCCAAATCTCCCGCCCATTTTTCCTCCCTCCGCCCACCGCTCATTTCGAAAGTTGGGCAGAAATGCTTAGAAGACAAGCAACTGATCAGGAGCGCCAAG